AGTCAAATTTTTAAAGTACCCAGTTAGAAGTCTGTACTCAGAGATGGATAAGTGAAGTTTGCACAAGATGATTTTTTAATACTATGTAACAAATACTTGATTAAATAAGTAATAGTAAAACTATCTATTGTCTTAGAAATATTTTGTCAGTAGACTTTGAGCTAGGCAAGGCCTGCAAGCTTTTGGAGTAACACCTAACTCCTAGAACTCACTTGGTCATTTTCTCCCATTATTCTGTTGACTTCTAACAGAAGGTTATACATGTCCTACCATAGAATATTGTTGTGAATGATAGAAATGTAGGTCTGTTTATTCACTTTCCTGCTTGTCAGTATTTTTACACAGAGCAGAAAACATTTACCTATTTAAAATCTTTGGATTCTACTTGTGTTTACCTCTAAAATGCAGACAAATGTGAACTCTAGTTTTGACCACTAAATGTTTGCTACGAGAACCTGACATACTTCCTGACAAATACAAGGCAACCAAAAATCTGTAGTTCTTATTATCATTAATAAGTCAATGAATTGACTTTTGTGGTGGAGAAAGAAAAGGGAAGTGAAGTCAAACATTATCCTAAGGCTGGGAAGGTCCTCCTTCTCTGACAATGGTCTATCATGCCCATCCCATACTTTCTTTTACTTGCAATTTCCGGTCTCAGTAGAGCCACTCATCATATGAAGGTGAGACAGGGTTCTGCCAAGAAAGCTGATGATAAGTGGGGTCTGTTGTGGAATCAGTGAATGCTGGGTTCAGCTCTAGGAGCATGCTGAGCCCAACTACCATCTGAAATGCAGCATGCTACCATTGGAATATTTTCCATCTTGGATATATCAGGGTAGAGCTGAGACAACAAACAGAAATGAGATCTGTGGAAATATTGTGGGAGATTCCTTCCAGTCAGTATTTACAGAAAATCCTGAATTTATTTTGGCTACATTGAATAAAGAAAATGTATTATAAGACAGTGAAGAAAATGTTTTTTCTTCTTATTGCTGAAATAGTGTTGCCGTTGTTTTGAAAAAGGGTTGTTACTCCAACTAACTGAAATGTGAAAAGAAATCTCAGAACAATCTAATTTTCACTTTTTTTTTCAGCCTTGTGTTGCTGGGTCAAAAATGTCATTGCTAACTAACTAAAGTTGTAAACAAGTTTCATGTATAAAAATGCCTCTACTGAGAAAAAGCAGTAGAAGGTCATGTTTTGTTTCCCTTGATCAAGGAATTAAATTTTATCACCTGTTAGCTCTGAAACAAGAAGTCTAAAATTTAGGCATTCTTTTGCTTGCCTTTCCTCAGTGAATAACACAAGAACAATGTGAGGTGAATTAACTATAGCTATACATATAGATAAAAAAAAAAAAAAAAAAGCCAGGCTCTCCCTGGTAGTATTCGGGTTAAAACACTGCATTATGAAGATCTCCGAAGCCACTGCAACATGAGTTCGATCTCCAGCCAGGGAGCTGACCCACATGGCATGGCAGACCTCTCTTGACCCGCCCACTGCTCCCCTCAGCAGTGTACTTTGTCAATCTGCCTGTTCTGCTCCCCACTCTGTCTCTTGTGAATCCTCTCACCACCCCTGCACCTCTGGCCTGTATTCCAATTCTGTAGGCATAAATAAATAAATCTTAACAACAACAAAAAAAAAAGCCTTGATGGTGTTGAATATTAGGACCCAGGAAACTATTGGCCTGTAGGTTTTTTATGTTATGGTACTATCACAATGAAGCTTTGCTTATTATTTAATTATTTACCCACATTTTTACAGAGCATTTAGATATTATAAATAAGAATGGCAATACTATTCTAAGAATATTGAAAAAATTAAAACCATATAACTGAAAGGGGAAGTATTCACCTAGGTCAACTTTCTGTTTCTCTCCGAGTTCTTTCTGGTTTAGGCAAAGCAAAGCATATCAGGTGGTGAGCCATGTGTAATAATAGTGCATTGCTTTGGACAAGTTGGGATTTGGTAAGCCAATTTACCATATAATATCAAATTAGTTATGTATATTTTGTTTGAGGAATATTTAGTATTAGTGTATGAAAAATTCAAAACTTATTTCTTACAGGGAGTATGACATAAGTGGTAGGTATTAGGGAATATGGCTATCTCTCATTTTATCTGAGAAAGCTTTACTTTTCCTTTTTCTGTTGAACCAAGCATGATTACATGAAATTTTTTCTCTTTTCACAATTACTTTATGGGGTAGATATATTCATAGAGTAGTCATTTTGTAAATAAAGAAACTGAGGCTGAGCATGGTTTTAAAATTTGGCAAGAACTGCATAGCTGGAGAACTTACATGGCATCAATTTAGATTAAAAATGGAATCAAAGAGATCTCTGCAATCGGTGTAATCTGCAATGTGGTTTTCTTGGTTTTAGAGTCTTTTCAGGTCGCAAAATAGATCTTTTTAATAGTTGCATAAAATTACATATTCATATATATTATAATTTCATCAGTCATTTTCTCTATCTGCAGACATTTCGGTAATTTCCCTCTTTGAGGTTTACTTATAGTGCTCTAATGAGGTCCTTAGACATTCATCTTAGTGCACACTTGCAAGTGTTTCTGTAAATATTTAGATGCAGCATTTTTAGGTTGAAGATACTTGAAAGTGTTGATCATTGTTTTCAAATTGTGCTTTTTTCCCATACTTTTCCAAGAGTATTCTTTTCTCTCTACCTCATAGGTATTAGGTGTCCCAGTCTATTTCAAAATATTCTTATAGATAAATACATTGTATCTCCTTATTTTAATTTGCATTTGATTAATTTTTAATGAACTGTGAATATCTATAGAAGCCAATGAATTATGTATGCCTTTGTTGAATTCCCATTTTTTCTTTTCTCTATTTAGACATGTAATTGCTTGAGTTGACAAACCCTTTGCATGCTTAAATATTCATATTTCAGTTTAATAGTTAGCATTATTTTCACCTAGTATTTGACTTTTGTTATAACCTTATTATGGTTTATTTTGTTGTCCAAAGATTTTAGCATTGATTTGTAATAACTCCTGTTAGTATCTCTTGGATTTGTGGCTTTGTTTGGAAGATTCTCTCTTGGTAACTAATTAAATATTGGTTCATATTTCCTTTTGGTAACATATAGTTTATAATTAAACAGAATTTAATTTTTGTCAGTTTTATGAAGTAAGAATATTTTTCATATATAGATTTATTTCATTCTTTCCATGCTGTATTTGAATGACCCACCCTACTTAATTTGAACATAAAGTTGAGGAGTGGAACAGAAAACAGTATAAAAACAGATCTACTCTTGGACCAAAGCTGCATTGCCTTAATAATGTTTTATTATATGTTTTACTATCTAGTAAGATCTGTTTCCATCCTTGTTTTATTTTTTAAATGGTTTGTTTACATGAAAAGTGTGGGTAAAATTTAATATTATTGCTCTGAATTAGAACAAACTAACATTTATAGTAATTTAGGAACATCAATGTCTTTATAGTATTAAGGATTTTATTCCAGGAACTTTGTATAATATACTTACTCAAAGCTTTTTGTATTGTTCAGTTATTTGTTACAGAGATAGGTATACCCTGGCACATTTGTAGTCAGTGATTTCTAGATATTTTATAACTTCTGACTTTTGGGTATACTTTCTAATACATTGTTTTATATATTGAATTTTTAAAATTCTGTTTCTTTACTGGATTCATATTAGTTCTAATAGTTTTTCACTTAAATCTCTTGAATTTTCCAAGTAAATAATACTATAATCTGCAAATAATGAATTCTGGCTTTTCTTTTTCAATTATTTATAGTTTTTTCCTTTGTACTCCTATAACTTATAATACAGAGCAAGCTGAAGATGAAAAATATATTATTAAATCTTTGCTTTGCTGCAGAATAAAATTATGTCTTTTCTTTAGACATAGTAATCTGATTCCTAGAAGCCTCAAAACTTATTCACACTACCATTTCCCAATATGTAGCATATATTTTTTTGTTTTATTTAATTTGAGACACCCTCAAATGAACTTTCTAACCCAGTCTGTTATATCAAATATATCAAAAGGAATATTCAATAAGTAATATTTTAGGGTCCTGAAAAAAAGTCAGGGAGTTGTAATGTATTTGAAAAGATTTTCCAATACTTAACTAAACATATATACACATGAATACTATGTGGTACCAGAATTAAGTTGTGTTACAGAATGAATGCTACTGAAATCCTTGTTTTGAAATCATATTCACGGGCCTGTTAGCAGAAGTAGACAAGTAGAAGTAGCTAGAAGTAGCAGACATTAATGAAGTAACTTCCAGGATGCCACATTGCAGATCCAGCTAATGTTTCTGTATGTACTATAAAAGTTTGCTCTTCTAGGCTTGTTGTAGTCTCCTTAACTGTGTGTTGCAAAAGATAGATATGTAGGTAGGCAGATAAAGAGATGGACAGGTGGATGGATGGTTGGTTGATGGGTGGATTTTGAAAATGCATTCCTTCCTTCATACTTACTAATTTTTTAGGGCATAACTCAAGCACTCTTTCATATGAAATTCTACCCTTTCTCAGGAAGATGAATAAAATTCATTTGGTATATTGCTCTGTTATATTAGTTTGTTGTATGTAACTGTACCCGGAGGTGACCACATAGCATGGCAGACCTCTCCTGGCCCGCCCGCTGCTTCCCTCAGCAGTGTACTTCGTTGATCTGCCTGTTCTGCACCCCACTCTGTACCTGGTGAATCCTCTCACTCTCCACATCTCTGGCCTGTATCCCAGTTCTGTATGAATAAATAAATAAATCTTTAAAAAAATGGTAGAATGACTCATATTTTTAGAAGTCTAAGTTGTTTTTCTTTCTGATTCAATTTTCCTTTTCTTAATATTCAATTGATTTTAAAATGAAAGTTGTTTAGAAAAAAAATAATGTAGCTTTTTCAATTTATACTGAAGAGATTTTTGCCTTTTCTTTTAAAACAAACTTTCATTGATTATCATCATTTTGTTGACTTCTTAATACAGGTTTTCAACACATACTCCAATGAAGACTATGACAGGAGAAATGACGAAGTTGATCCCGTGGCTGCTTCAGCTGAGTATGAACTTGAAAAGCGTGTAGAAAAGTTGGAGCTCTTCCCAGTGGATCTAGAGAAGGGTATATGAACTCTACAAGATTTATTTTGTCATAATATTGCTATATTAATAATACAGAAGTTATTTTCCCTCAGTACAGACTTTTCTAGAGTTAGATGAAGTTTTAATTCTCATGGAGAATCTTATTTATTAAATTTCAAAAATTGGTTGATATGGGTTCTGTACAGATGGCACATTGAGAGATTAGCTCCCTTCCCCGCCCAACTGAAACCCACCTACTTAGTTGGCAGGGAAGGGGGCTTACAGGAAGAAGGTGTGAAGAGTGGGCTAATATTTTGTGGGTGCATTTGGCAAGGATTGGTGAAGGTAGAGCCCAGAGACAGTTGCTATAAGCAAGAACTTAGGTGGTTGTGTTGTTGTTTTTATTTATTTATTTATTTGGATTGAGAGTGGTCATATAAATAGATGGCTAGAGTCCAGATGTTGTAGCTATGGGGAATGCCTAACCTTCAGAAAACACTGCCCATTAAGAATGAAGGCAGTAGAATACTCTCCATCCCTGATAGGAAAAGCCTAGAACAGTGGTGAGAGCAGAAGAAGAAGGCCTTCCTGATTTCTTTCCCTGGAATGATGGCTACAATAACTGGGAAACCACAGGACCAGAAATGGCCATATTTATCTTCATCTGGGAACTGGATTATAACCCAGTGAACTGAAGAACTTCACAGAGCAGAAAAAGTAGAACAAACACACAGCAGTTTGAATAACAAGAAACAAACAGAACCACTAAAGGTTATTTAAGTATGAATTAAAAGACATTCTTAAACAAATTCAGTGTTAACAGAAATATTGGTTTTAAGGTTGAAAATTCCAGTACAAGAATTGAAGAGTAAAGGAAGTTTATTTTTGAAACTGACATTGATAACCAAACATCAAATCTAAGAAATGTGCCAAATTAATTCTCAAATGATGTAGTGAAAATCATGAAGGAAACCCAGTATCTAATGGTAGGCAATAGAAAAGGAAAGTCAATGGAAGACAGACTATCAGGTGAATAATAAAAGAAATTTTTCTGAGTTGAAAAACCTGAGATTCATATGTGAAGGTGTTCAGTTAATTGGCTGCAAGTGAGGGGACTTTGGAAAAATCCCCTGCTTAAACATAGCCTACGAAAAAAGTTCTAATCTTCAAAGATAAAATGGGGCTCTTACACACGACTGGGCAAAAGTGAAAACAGATGCAAAGATACTTGCAAAGACAAAATCAGGACATTAAAAGTGGGGACACATGTAAGTTCGCATAATTGTAAGAAGAAAAAGAATGAAGTTCCAAGGATCCTTATTTATCCCAGAAAATATTTACCTATCCAGTTGAAAGAAAGGAATTTGCTGTTAAGTAAGGATTTAAAGAGCATATCACCCACATGCTTCATGTGAGTAATTTACTTCCCAATTAGCAGGGAAGAAAAGAATGGGTAGCAACTTGATCAAAACAGGAGAATAAAGAAAAAGAACTATAAACTTACACAAGAGTACACAGACTAAGCATAAAATTGCTTGGATGAAAAGAAACAGAGAGAGTACCAGGCCTTACACCAAAGTTGGCTACTGAATTGTTCTCATTAAAAGACACTTTCATGGTAGAAGAGCCGCGCGGTGGTCCTGTGTGTACAGCTTCCACAAGAGGGAATCCTAACCGTCGCTGTCATGGTACACTGCAGTTGCGCGTTGTTGAGAAAGGGTTAGTGCACTAAAAGGCTCCAAAGGAAAAGACTGTGAAATTCCTATACCTGTAGGAATCTCAGTAACTGATGAAAATGGTAAAATTATAGATTCCCAAATGCTGGAAAATCTTCTTTGTTAAGTCAGATTTCTCATGCAAAACCTGAAGTTGCAGATTATGCATTTACAACATTAAAACCTGAACTTGGAAAGATTATGTATAATGATTTCAGATATCAGTGGCTGATCTTCCTGGTTTAATAGAAGGAGCACATATGAACAAAGGAATGGGCTACAAATTCCTAAAGCATATAGAAAGAACCAAACAACTACTTTTTGTTGTCGATATTTCTGGTTTTCAGCTTTCTTCCAAAACTGAATACAGAACTGCCTATGAAACTATAATACTGCTTGCAAAAGAGTTAGAGTTGTACAAAGAGGGCCTTCAGACAAAACCTGCACTTCTAGCAGTTAATAAAATGGACTTGCCAAATGCCCAAGATAAATTCCATATACTGATGAACCAACTCCAGAATCCTAAAGACTTTTTACATTTATTTGAAAAAAATATGATTCCAGAAAGGACCATGGAATTCCAACACATCATTCCTATCTCTGCAATTACTGGAGAAGGAATTGACAAATTAAAGGACAGTATAAGACAATCTCTAGATGAACAAGCTGATCAGGAAAATGATGCATACCATCAGAAACAGTTGCTTAATTTACAGACTTCCAAAACAATATCTTACAGTGAGCCAAAAAATGTTGCTCAAAAAAATGTTGCTACTAGTCCCAGAATGGATATAATTTAAATATATTAAAAATTATTTTGAAATTGTGTTCATTTAAAAGTTTTTCCACAGACATATTTTTTGAAGGTTAGTTCCTGTTGAACTTCTGATACACATGCCATCATGCAAGAACTGTACTTTTTAAAGTTGTTCTGTATTTAAGTGTATCAATAGTAAAAAAATTTGATATATAAACTAATATAAAAATTAGTTTATAATTTCATGACCAATCCACCTATAATAAATATCCTCCAAAATACTTGTACTAAGACATGTCCAGTGAGCTAATTTTTTTAAATTATATAAAAGAACTCCCTAAAACATTGTTGGAATGAATAACTACCTTTTGTTGCCTATGGGTTAAGTCTCATGCTATCACCTACATGGCCCTGCTCCCCTTAGCAGTGTATTTCAGTAAATTGTCTGTTCTGCTCCCCATTCTGTCTCTGGTATATTCTCTCACTCCCTGAACCTCTGACCTACTTCCCAGGTCTTCTATGCAAAAATAAAAATTAAAAGAACACACACACACACAAAAAAGACACTTTCATGTATGTGAGTGATGCTTAAATTTTTTCTCCATCTAAAAATGTGAAAACCATTTTTAGCTCATGGCCCATAAAAAAACAGCTGGATTTTTCTGTAGTTCATTGTATTGCATATACTAGAAAAAAGTGAAAACAATTCAAGTATTTAACAATGATAGAAAAGTCTATATAAAGTGTACCATCTGTATTCAATAAAATATTACTCAGTAATAAAAGTGAGACAACCTTTATTTCACATAGCAGGAGGCATTACCCTTGCAAACATGAAATTGAGAGGAAGAAGATAATAGCAAGTCAAAAGCAGACAGTTATATAATTCATTTCATTTACATTTCAAAACCAGGAAAAGTGGGCAGCCAACCTTCCCAGTCTTACCTGCTGCTTCCCATAGAAGTATATCTCAATAAATCCGTCTTTTCTGATCTCCTTCCTTCAAAACAAAAAGAAAGAGCCAGAAAAATAAAACAGCATGTTTTCTAGAGAAAATAAGTAGTTTTAAAAAGTATAATTAAGAAAAGGAGGGAGTATTTCATACAATGTGAAAAATAATGATTATATGGGAAGACTTTTGCTATCAGGAAAGGCTCTTGTAGACTTTTTGGGTTATTGGTAATGTTTTGTATTTTTGTTAGGGTATAGATATTTGCTTTTTAAACACAGTCTTTTGTGTCCTATGTTTCATAATAAAAATTAAGGCAGGAAAATTAAACTAGCAGAGAAACCATTACATTATTTTTTTAGATTTTTTGAGGAACCAATTGCATACTGGTTTCCACATTGGCTGCACCAGTTAATATTCCCACCAACAGTGTACAAGGATTCTATTTTCCCTGAAGTCTCACTGAAATCTATTATCTCTTGTCTTTTTAATAACAGCCATTCTAACAGTTTGACATGATTATCTCATTGTTTTGATTTGCAGTTTCCTCATGATTACCCATGTTGAGCATGTTTTATATATCTGTTTTTCTGCCCACTTTTTAATCAGATTTGAATTTTTGTTATTGGTTTGCATAAATTCTTTATATATATTGCATACGAATCCCTTTTTATCTATATGATTAATAAAAATTTTCTCCCATTCCATGGGTTGCCATTTTATTCTGTTGATGATTTCCTTTGCTATGCATAACTCTTCAGTTTTTATAGCTTTTTATAGTTTTATTTATTTTGCTTTAGTTGCTGTTGTTTTTGTGTTAAGTCTAAAATGTCAGTGGCAAGACAAGTGTCAAGGAGCTTTAGCCCTTAAATTTCCTTAAAAATCCTTTAGGATTTTTATTAATTTCAGGTATAAATTTCAGTCTTTACTCCATTTCAAGTTGATTTTATAGAGTAAGGGTCTAGTTTTAACCTTCTGCATGTTGTTTTACAGCACCTTTTGTTAAAAAAATATTCTTTTCTCATGTATATTATAGACTCCCTTGTAAATTAAGTGACCAAATATATATATATATATATATATATATGTAATTTTAGTACTGGAATTTTCTTCAATTTCTTTGATCTATATGTCTCTATTTTTGTAGAACACATAGTATTTTGTAATATAGTTTGAAATTATGAAGCATAACACTTTCAGCCTTATTCTTTCTTTAGATTTTATTGGCTATTTAGAACTTTTTGTGATTCCATGCAAACTTTAGGACTATTTGTTCTATTTCTCTGAAAAATATTGTTCTAAAGGCTTGTTATTTGTGTATAGAAACCTAAATGTGATAGAAACTATAGCTAATTATACCAGTAGAGAATTTTGTTGTTATATTGAGAAACAATATTTTAGTTAAAATCAGGACTCACATTTGCAATGTTCTTTAAATGCAATAATCCATATAAACAATAGAATACAAAAGATGAAAATATATACACATAGTATATACAATTATATATGTATTATAATACACTAGGTTATATGTTATATAATATACTTTATATGTACATAGTTATATATATATGTATTATACATGGGGTATATTATAAATATATCCATTAGATACAAAAAGCAAAATATGCATAGAAAAATCACACTGATTTTTACTATATTAGAATTGCAAACATCATTGGAAAAGATGAAGTCAGATTCAAGCACATTTAATTGAATTAAAAAATTATTTTTTTTACCTCTGTAATCAAATTAAGAGCTTAGTAATGAAAATAGGTATAGTAGCACCAAAACAACAAAAATAATTCTTAAATTAATAAGAAAATAAAGAATTTATCTGTAAAAAGTACATCTATTTGAAAGATATAATCAAAACAAATAGAAAGATATATTATTGAATGAAAGGACATGCCATAGAAAAATTTCTCCTATATGCCTGGTGCCTATAAATGAATATAAGTATAATGCAGTTCAAATAGAACTACTATCAGAATTACATTGGAAGAGGGAATTACATAATATAGTATTACAGTTTTTGTGGAAAAATATAGACCTAAGAGAAATATGAAAAAGAATGAGAAAGACGTTGAATTCCCAACTATGTAAATACAATGTAAAACCTCTATAGTCAGAATGAATTGTATTTACACAGCAATTTCAGTGAACCAAAATAGGAAGCCCAGGCAAACATGTTAGTAGGTATGAGCATTTAATATGTGTCACATATGATGCTCTAATTGAAGTAATAGGGCACTTCCCCAGTTATTCTGACACAACTTAACATCTACCTGAAGAACAGAAATTGTACACCTTCTGTAGTATGATATAGAAATAACTATTATGCATGGATTAGATCATTACATATTGAAAGTAAAATAAGAGAGATGTTTTGTGGAAAATTTATGACATTTGTCATCATGACTTTTATAACAGGAAGGTCTTATACAAAACAGAAAAACAGAAGTCATAGAATAGAAGATGGTGCAATTCAATCATACAAAATGTTAAGCTTTTAAAAGCAATCTTGTCAAACAAAGCCTACAGATAAGTGAAAAGCTAAAGGACTGAGAATATTCATTGTAGACAATATGGAATTAATATCTACAACATGCTAAGAAGCTTGCAGATTACCAAGAAAAAAGGGGACAGTTAAAACACAGTAGGAAAACTGGCAATTTATTGAAGAGGAAATCTGATGCCGGTAACAAGTGCAAATCTCATTGGCAACTAGAAATGTTAGTTCCTAATCCAACATGAGCTTCTCTCCTCATGAGAAAAAGTAAGTTCTAAGTTCCAGAGTACAGCAATAGCATTTTCCATTATAACACAGGCTCAGTATTTTCCATCTTTTGTCTTTTCCTGACTGCTCTGCCTACTTAATACTCTGCCTGTGTTCAGGAGATTTCCTAGAGAGGAAAGAGGTAGCTTCTGGGTACTTGACATCTGGGTACTTGGCAGGACAGCTCCAGGGCTCAGAGTACTTCACTTACGTGGTGCTGGATTTCCTCCATGCTCAGCACATTTCAGAGAAAGCTGTATACAGAAATGGATTGATGTGTGGTTCCTGTGGGTTGATTATATACCCTTGCTTTAATTGTCTTTCACTTACACCCTATCTTTCAGGAAGTCTACTCTGGAACTGAGGATGACTTAAGCTAATAATTTCCCACAGTTGGGTTTTAAGTTCTGCTTTCTGCAAATCTGAGCAGTTTTCCAGTTGGAGCAATGAACAAAGCTATGGAAGAAAAAATTTTTACTGAGGTCTGAGTTCAGGCAAGGAAAATAGATTTAAAAGCTAAGACAATTTTCATGCAGGATATTTACAGGAAAAAACTATTTAATGGTATGATACTTCAACAGATTCCACATTTGAGAGGAACCTTTTGAATATACTGTAGTGAGTGTGGGAAAGTTTCACGCATAGTTCCATATTGGCTCAGAGTGAAAATTAATGACAAAGTGAAACTCCTCTCTATGCAATGATTGTGAGCTAGAATTCAGCTAATGTGTAATATACACCAGAGGTTTCATATAAGCAGCAAACCCTATGATTCAATGTGAAAAAGTCTACAGCTATCATCTCTTAACATAAGAACAAACACACTGAGGGGAAGAATGTATATGGAAGTAAACACTATGTGAAGATTTTCAGTCATTATTCATCCCTTCATAAACATGAACAAATTTATACTCTAATGAAACCCTGTGGATATATGAACATGGGCAAGAATTCAGCCATACAGCTAGACTTTATAAACTCAAGAGTATTCATGTGGAAGAGAAGAAACTTTATATATGTGCCCAATAAAGGGGGACCTTCAACACAGATGTAACTTTCATGAGCATGTGAAACTTCCTTTCTGGGGAGAATGCAATGAACTGTAATGAATGTCAGAAGGTCTTTACTAAGAAAACGTCCTTTGATGAACATGAACATCTACACCAGAGAAACCATCAGAATGAAATAAATATGGGGAAGTCACATGCAAGCAAACATTCTATATGTAAAGAATGAAGGAAAATCTCCAGTGTTCACTCATACATTAGTCAGTATTAAAGTCCTCACCCTGGAGAGTGGAAGTGCCTGCAGCTGGGGATGAAATCAGACAGTTCACCCAGGGAGAATACTCTGTGAAGCTTCTTTCAGCACACAACTCAGCAAACTGGTCACTTTTGCCAAATGACATACTTTTCAAACATAGAAAGATGTAGTATTATAAACTGTACTTAGAAGTACTTAGGCAGAAGTTGGTGACGAGTAATAATAAGATGAGCTCTAATCAAAAGGTTATTAAGTTGAGTTAAAAGTTATTGCTAAAATTCTTTTTAAAAGTGTCAAGCATATACTGTTGAGTATATGCACCAGTTTTCCTTTAATAATCCATCACTGTTGATCATCTGCTATCTACTTTTAACATGTTTGTGTATACACACATACACATATACACATTCATGAAAAGGACAAGAGGAAATGTGAATAAACAGATCCTTTATAAATGAACTGAAGAATGTGTTTGTCAGTATTATTCACAGGAGCAATTCAATTAAACAAAAGTGAGTATCAGTGGAGAAATGGTTGGATTAGTTATCATATTGTAACACAATGAAATATAACTTTGCAAGTTGATGTTTGGTAGGTATCATTGAATTAGAAAAGTAATCTGCTATTTGATATCAACCAAGTAGGAAAGATTGCAAATTGTACCTATTTGTGCACATATATGTAGTGACTGTTTCATGTGTTTATTTGCTTGTGTGCTAGGACAAGAAAGTATTGAAGGACACATGCCATAAAACTATATAAATAAAGCGGATATTCCAGATATTTTATGGTCATGTTTCTTTAAAATATTATATATATGTGTGTGTGCATGTGTTTATGTGTGCTTTTGTGCTTAAAACACTGTATTATTTAGAGCGGATGTGTTCTAAGGCAGATTAATTACTCAGTAATCAAATTATTACCTTAGAACCACTATGTGTAGCTGTGTTAAATAGTAAATGTGACACACATTTTGGAGTGGTCTTATTTGGCACCCTTGTTCCCCAGAATAGAAAACAGTTTGCCTACACCTATACATCATATGACTGATCTATAAAGAAGAACAAAACTAAAAGCTGCAAATAGGCTTCACCAACCAATGTTGGGCTATTGTAAAACGTAGATTTTTGCATTGTTTTCCTTTTTTTCACAGATGAGGATGGACTTGGTATAAGTATTATTGGAATGGGTGTTGGAGCAGATGCTGGACTAGAAAAGCTGGGAATATTTGTCAAGACAGTTACAGAAGGTGGTGCTGCCCAGCGGGACGGCAGGTAAGCTAGTAATCTATAGCTGAGAGCTAGGAAGCTCCCTTAGGGATTTCTTTCAATAATACCTTTCTTCATTTGATTTTTTAGGCAAGTATTTCAGAAAGTCTCAAGTGTAGAAAATTTGATGACACTTGAATTACTTGAATTAGGCAAAATACCTGCTTTTTTCAATATATGTTCGTATGTGTAAACAGATGGGTGGATGTTTTACTTATGTGTCTACTTTTGTACCTATCCAGTAGTAAGTAAACACAAACACGAATGTACATAGTTTAAAAATATGTACCATGGGCCCTCCCTGGTGGCGCAGCGGGTTAAAACGCTGCACTGAGAAGCTAAAGCCACTTCCACATGAGTTCGATTCCCGCCTGCCCAGGAGGTGACCACATGGCGCGGCAGACCTCTCCTGACCCGCCCGCTGCTCCCCTCAGCAGTGTACTTCATCATCTGCCTGTTCTGCTGCCCACTGTCTCTGGTGAATCCTCTCACCGCCCCTGAGCCTCTGGCCTGTACCCCAGTTCTGTATGTACAAATAAATAAATCTTTAAAAAAAAAAATATGTACCATGGATAGCAGCATATAGTTTTACTTAGGAAATAGCAAAACAAATGTTCATAAAATGACACTTTTGGAAATGACAGCAATAGAAGAGGAAATATGAACTGTAACTTTGCATTGAAGGTGATTCTGGAGCTCACTGTTTCTCAAAAATGTGTTCTGTCTAAAAATGCCAGTTCTTTGTCACCTAAACCTATGGAATTAAAATTTCTAGGATGGCGCTGGTTGTTTGCACTTAAACATTTGTATTGGATGATTCAGCTACATGCCAGAGCATGAGATAATCATGATTTTATAACTTACATCATCTCAAGCGACTAGTGTCTTTGAATAATTTGATTAAAGCTTACACTAGGCTTTTAATACATTGGTTTAGAGCTGAAGCAGAATGTTGGTGATAAAAATAAAAATAGATCCCAAAATACGAGTGTTCAATTCAAAGAATACCCCTTATTCTTTAGAACATATAACTGGCTTTGAAATTTGTCAAAAAATATATATCTCTGTGTGTGTATATTTATTTATTTGTGTATATATGTGTGTATGTGTGTATACATACATACATATGTGTGTGTATATATATATATATAATTTAACCTCATCAAGAAATATTGAATAGTAAATTATTTTCTGAATTTCTGGAAAGACTCACAGTAGCATTATTCCTTTAAAATTCTAAAAGTACTTATTGTTATACAGAGATATTTCCTGAAAATTTGATTTATTTAAATAGACAGTCATACCTTCAGGATTGTCTCTTTTCGTGATGTTATGAGCTACCACTTAGTATCTTCATTTGTGTTTTCATTGCACTTGAACAGTGAAGGTTTGAAATGAATCTTTTCAGTGAATGTTCAGCTGACTGTGTTTGTCACATACTTAAAAGAAAGTGGGAGGTGAATATTTTGTGTTTAAAAGTAATTTATTAACAGTCTTCTTCCTTTTTAGATTAGTTAAGAAAGTCACCTTAAATTGCATTCAGTGAATAGCATAATGAAGGTAGTAAATATTCCCCATTATTAATTTAAAACCTTACAAGTGAGCTAAAATGTGTTTCTCAAATTTGCATCGTGTCTCTTTAAGGTTTCATGAATAAATTAAAAGTTATTCTAAAGTGGCAAAAATAAATCTTATTATTAGTATTCTAGTAACACTAAACTATTATGAACCACCCCTCTCAAATAAATGGACTGCAAAGACTACCCAAAATACAATTGATTAAAAGGCCAAAAAGTAGAAAAAAATGCATTCAGCATATTGCCAGTTTCTGTTGTTTTAAACTTAGAACTATGTTTTTTGGTCACTTGTTAAAAAAATTTGAGTTGACTTGTTATATAGCTTCATTATTTACACTAATATGAGTACTTTGCTTATCAGTCCCAGTGTGCATTTCCTCAGTCCGAGTATTTACCCAATACATTAATGTTGCTATTAATATTATAATAGATGCTTAAAAATGATTTCAGTGAATATATTAAGAAAGGTAATTGGTGTAATGAAGTAAGCAAACTTTTGGGGATCATGTGATCAAGAGTCTTAATTCCATCCTATCTACTTACCAGCAGTGGAATATTGGTTATATTACTCAATTTTCATGTTGTCTACATTGGAGAGGTATTATCAGCATTAAGTAAATTTGTGTAAACAAGAAACTGACCCCAGTGATTTTTGGATATGGAACTACTCATGAATGAAGTAGAAGTAATCTTGGAATTTAGTAAAAAAAAAAAAAAAGTTCGGGAAAACTACAGAAAAATATATAAAATATACATAGAAAAAGACTTTTGGAGATCAGAGGGACTTTAGATACCTTTACTTTCATATATGTACAGAATCGAAGATACAAAAATAAGAGTTCTCATCAGATCTGTGGTAGTGATAGCATTTTAAGATGATTATTGCTACCATTACTAGTATATTCATTTATTTGGTGTTTGAATGTTTACTATTTGAAGGATATCAACATAAAAAAAAGTGCAAAATGTATGGTTGGTTGCTGTCTCCAGTCACTAATAATTTGTTTAGTTATGTATAGTTAGCGATATAGAAAATTATTATACTGGTGATTTATAGAACTGTGATTGGTATGATACTGTTCTTGTGTGTGTATGTTTTCTTTTTATCCATTCTCCCACACTAAATTCTCAAAAAGCCTGGGATTGATATACACCAAAATATTGAATGGCTCTGATGTGTGCATTTTTAAATATGGAATATTTTGATAAAGAATATTCAATACTGGATATATAAACTACAACTAAAAATAATAAATTTATATGCCCTTGAGAAAGCTAATCATCAGACATCAGTTATGAACAAAATTAAATTTTTGGATTAAATGTTCTTCACAATTTCTTCTAGCTGTAAAAGAGAAGAATCTGTGTCACACTTTGCTGGCTTTTTTTAGTTTGGTAATACTTCTTCTTATTTAAGAAAACCACCTCAACTTAATATCAGATCTGGTTGCACTTTCTTCAAGGTATATTAATAAAATATACAATATTTTGTCCCCCTCCCCAACCCAGGAAGCCTTTTATTATAATCTAAACTCCTCGTAAGCCCTCAATACCTCTCAAAAACCCTCTGAGTACTTTTAAACGTTTGCTTGGGTATTTATTTCCAGTGTAGTTAAAAAGTTTGGAATCTTTCTTATTTTTTAATACAATGGCTTACATTCTAAAATTTCTTCTGTCAGTCTTTTCATGTTTTTCTGTATCTTTTCATGTTTAAAGCATATAGTATGTACAGTAAATATTTGATGAATGAGTGAATACTTTTGTTTCAATCACTTTCAAAACATTTACTTGGATTTAACTGACTTCCTTCCTCCTCCTTCCTCCCTCCCTCCCTCCCTCCCTCCTTCTCTTCTCTCTTCTCCTACTCCCTTTTTCTTACAGGGTAACTTGTAATTTAACAAACTGATATAACCACTTCCATCTTCCATTTTATTTCTAAGTTTTTAGCAAGGTAATATTTAATATCTCAACAATTTTTGCTTTCAAAACTTTATTATTGTACACGGTACCCTTTGACATACTTGCGTCTTCACCAGTTCTATTCTTCATTGATTCTATAAAGCAAAATATATTTTATAGTAACATCATGGAAATACTGATAGAATAGATCCCATTTAAAAATAACTGACACAATGTAGTAATAATGCTAGAGCAGTAAATTAAAATTTGTTTTGTTTCTGGCCTCTATGTTTCTCAAGCTTTGCATATCCTCAGTTGAGACCCTCTCCTTTTCAGTTTTATTGGAAAAGTGAGCAATTTTAATTGTTTTGACCATCTTTTGGATTAACACCAACATATAAAACAGTTGATAGTTCTATTCTTATGCTTACCCTGCAGCACACACTCACTCCTGCAGGGCCCATCTGTGCCCCTGAGGTACACTCATGCCTGGGACAACTCTGAATGGAAAACTGCTGTTTCAGTTGTGCCCATCTGCCATAATTCCTTAGTTGATAGTTTTCTCTCTATGCACATATTCATGTGTCACTCTTCTAATCAAATATTTTCTTGTTCACCCCTGAGGGAGCTGGGATATTACTGTTTTGATATGTATTTTCATATACATTTAAAACTTTACGAGCTAGCCTTTGGGAGAAAGATTCTCTGTTGACCAAAGTCCATTAATGTTGCTCCAGCTGCTCTGCTTTCATTCATGGTTGCTTTGTTTATGTAAGCCTGGTGAAATAGAGCTTTTTTTTTTTTTTTTTGCTATCCCTTGCCGAAACATCATGTCAATAAATAACAATCCAGTAACCTTAAACAAACCCTAGAATAGTTCAGCTTATATATTTTTATTAGCCTCGCCCTGTTGACTCTGATTTGTAGATCCAACATTGAGGAATATCAGAAATATCAGACTGAGACTGAAGAGAAGTACTGTTGAACACTTTTATTACCACATGGAAAGTACTGAGGAAATGGATGGGACTGGATGCCTGTTACTAACTAGCCAGGTGCATTTCCATAAATTTCACCCAGTGGACAATGTTTCCAGGGAAAAACAGGCTATTTCCTCTGTTAGTCTGGAAAATTTGGGGAAAGTTGAGATTATCTGTAGAACTGATCAGCCTTTTTTTTTTTCTTTAAGCACACAATATATTTTTTAATCAGCCTTTATACTCTGAAACAGTTCTCTTGCTGCAGACAACTGTCCGTTTAAAGTTTTCCTCTAGCAGTCATCTCATCTTTTTGCATTTCCAATATGATTGAGAGAGATTGTCAATGTTATTATTCTAAAAGTTAGCCTCTCTCAAAGTAAAATAAGTGGCAGATACTAGAAAGATTTTTTTTTACCAACTTTGCTAACAATTTATATTTTGAATAACCTGCTAATTCATGATCCTAGTGGGTTATAGGGTCAGTTCATGGCTGCAATAAAGCTGATCTGTTGCCCTCTTTTCACCAACAGTATTCATCACATCCAACCCT